GTGCTCACACAATATTAAATCATTCCAGCCTTTAGCATCCCTCTATTTCCAATGTTCTTTTTTCTGGATAGCTTGACAAATTCTGTTGTGACAGCTATTTAGACTAGCTCTGGAAGTTTTGTAAATAAATCACTTAAAGGGCCTTTATAATCACCCAAGCATGTTGTTTCTTAGGCGTAGCTTCTGTGAACGTCTGAGGAGGTGTGTAAACAGCCTTACATCAATACAATTTTTAGCAATGCTTTTTCATATCCTTTTGATAAAGAGGATACATCTTGCTCACCTTAAAAACAGATTTTCTATATCTAATCCTAGACTTGGGGCTAGTTAATACCCTGAATTTTTTGCTGTTTAGTTCTGAGGACAAATAAAAGTACCTGCCATCTAACCTCTCTCAGGAAGTATAGGTAGCACATCCTTCCAGATCCCTCCAAATCACATATCTATACTGTTGCTGTTTCTCTCAATAGGCTGAAACAAAAGCAGACATGTTTTTGCCTGCCTGGCCTACTAACCATCCGGCTTGGTTTGTTAGATTTTTGGTTTTCAAATACATTGAACCTGTTGTCTCCAAGCTGAGCATGTAAGAGATACTGCAGTCCATTGGCCTGTAGATTTTTTTTAACCTAATCTTATACCAAAAGATACAATAGTATGTTTTCATTTATACTGACCAAAGACAGAGTTCCCTCTTGCAGGTTGCTGTGTTTTGCTGCTGTGGGAATTTCCAGAAAGAACTAGACAACAGAAAGGAAAAGCTGTGTATGGACGTGGACCCTGTACCACTCCAGCAGTAAGAACCTGAGGACGGCTGAAAGCATCTGTGCCGTGGTGGTGAGGACACGTCAGTGCAGCACTCCATCTGTACCTGACAGGTAGTGTGTGTGCTGCACTGAGGGATAGTGATGGAAGTGCCTCCAGACACATCGGTTTCCTTTCTCCTTTCTCTCCTCCTCCCATCCACAGCTACAGCCTTGATCATGGCAATCATTGCAGTTTGGGGAACAAGGTGATTAGTAATCTTTCCAAATCTTATTTTTAAAAAGAAGAAGGTCTGAAAAGAAGAATTAAAAAACCTCAGCATTGTTTTCCATTGCTAAAGGCCCCTTCACATGAATTCTGTTCCCTTTAAAGTCTGGAATGCTTGTGTTGGTTGGTTTTGAGGGGTGTGGGGTTTTTGTGTGTCCTAAGCAACTTCAGATTTCCATAAATTAGAAACACATTTAGATTTTGGAAAACAATTATTTGGCAGTTGTTTTTATGAGAAAAACAGACTGCAAACACAACTCCAGACAGTGCTACAAAGACCTGTCAGGTTGGATTGTCCTGAGCAAAGCAGGACCAGCCTAAATACTTGAGCAAACTGGCACAGCAGCCAAGCCCAGCACACAAATCCCAGGTCTCAGATGCAGTTTACATGCAAATGTGATAGCAGACTCACACCAATTAGTCTCTCAGCCTATGTAATCTGGGAATAAATCCACAGGGGGGTTGTATGTTTGAGAGTACAAGACGAACGGGTTTTTTTCAGATATAGAACTAAAACTCTTTCAAAAAGAGTTGCATGGGTGTAGGCAGGTACTAGTGGAAGCCTGTGGAGTAAAGCAAGAGTAAGTAAACCTGCTGAAGTGACTGCTCAGTCCACTAAGATAAAGCCACATCAAAGAGTTATTCACTCCTTCCAATAACACTGAGGTGCAACAGATGACAATTAAGCATTCTGTCATTACAAACTGCTTCAAAACTAATTTAGAGGTAGCAGTGTCTGATAGCCCAAAGAGATACTAGTTTTTCATTTAATGCAGATAACAGACAAGTTTACCTGAGTCACTAAATCTATTAAATATATAGATTATTTTTCAAATAATGAAAAATCATAGGTGTAGACTGTAGATTGTGCTGGCTTTCCCCTGTAAAGTACCTGCATTTGATCATCACGAATAAGGACAAAGCCATTTCCAGAAGTGAATATTGACTCACCGTGGCTCTAAACTTCAAACACTTTCTCAGAAGCACCTGAAGAGCACACTTTCCAGCAGCACTGAGAACACACCCACTAAGCAAAGACCTGTCCCTTGTAGGGTTGTATACTGTTACAAAAGTGCCAAACCAGGTATCATCTGAAAGGCTCAGCCTAAATTTCAAGAGCAGTATCGTACTAAATCGTCAGTGAGAATTTGTCAAGTCCTGCAATGTAAGATCAAAGAGTTCAATATTTAACCATTTGCCCAAGAACTAAGATACAGTTACAAAGATAAAGTATAAAATCTTACTTCTTTGACCTTTATTAAATTAGTATTTTTAAAGATATAAAGTGGACAATAGTAGCATAGAAGTCTCATTTTATAGCTGAAAGGGTCTGTGTAAACATCCTCTATTTACTCACAAATGACAAAAGATTAGCAATCGGCAGATTAGATGGGAAGTCTGTGTGGTACATCATGTCATATTATAATGAGGAAGGAAGCCAGGAGAATTTTGGAACAGAAGAGAGAAAGTTGATTTTGGTTTTCTAACATAATCTCTTACAACAGAGTATCATGCCGTTCCATTTGTCTGGTAAAGACTTGTGGTAAAGACCATGGGGAAATGTAAATATAGGAAGTAACATCTGTAAAATCCTGTCTTAAAATATCAGCACCATCAAAACACAGAACTCTCTGTGCTCTCACGCTCAGTGGTACAGTATATGCTGAACTTTCAATGAAAACAGGAAAAAACCCAACTCTTATTTGTTTTATTGTCAGTATAAGTTTTTGTCTATATTTTGCTTTTCATTGAATTGCAAAGGCCTGAAGTTACATGTTTGTCTTGTTCTTCTGCTCATGAGTTTTTCTCATGCATATATCTGAAGTTATATTGTAGTACACAGTTACAGAAAACACTTTGAAGTACACACAATACATAAATGGTTTCTATCCTTCATAGTTTAGAGCCTGACTTAACTTCAAAGCATTGGAGAAATAGGGACAAAGTACAGTAGGATTATGTCATGATGATGAAGTACAGAGATTTCTAGCATGGAATTCAAATGAACCATTCCAGACATGTACTAGACAATATTTCATATGACAACTTTATATATATATACATATATGTATTTTTTTTTTTAGTATTCCAAGTTCATGCAATAACTAGCCTTCAAACCAAGATTCCACATCTGATTGGCAAGAGGTTCAGTACAGATATAACCTGGGGAAATTCCATGTTTGGGGAAATGCATTCTTCATGTATGTGTGAAGTCTTGCAAACGTTGAGGATCTGAGGGAGAGACGAGTATGCAGGATCTTCATGCCGTACATTTCCTCCTTCCATTGTCACTTTGATCATCCTCACCGTTGTTATGCTAACCTGTCAATGGCAAATGAGACCATCTCGACTTGACAAGAGCATGCATAGTTTTGTCTGCAGCTGACTAGAACTCTTTCTCCAGTAGCAAAGTATTTGTTATATCTACTCTTAGATTCACATAAAAAAAGCTGAATAATCCTTATGGGTTAAGCTACAACCTTTCTTGTGGGATTTGCTTATAGGCTTCCTACAGCAACATATCCAAGCACCAGTTAGCCTTAACCTTGCTTACTTAGAGAGACAAGAGTACATGAAACAGACTGTTATAGTGTATACTTACAATATACAGTTATAGTACAAACTGTAATTCACTTAAACTACAGAGCAGCCCTGTCAGATGCTCAGTATTTGCCAAGCTGAATTAAGTGGGATTTCTAGAGGGTACCTTTGGGATACCTCAAAATGGCTAAACAGCACAAAGAAATTGGAGACTGTATTTTGCCTCCTGCATTTGTCAGAAAACAAAGAATACTTCCTTCTCTTTGTAGCACACCCCAAAATACTCAAGATTAATAATGAGAAAGACTGGGAATTCTCTCTTTCAGCTGAATAGATGCACGGCAAAAATTCCAGTTTTCTATTCTTTTAAGCCTCAGTTTTTGGTCTCAGAATGTGTCGTGTTCTCACCACTGAAAAGAAAGGTTGCTCTTCTGTGATATCCAGAGAGCAGAGGGAGTAGTTAAGTATTAAGACTGCAGCATTTTGTACTGTTTATGAAGATGTTTATGAAAATTACTTCCTGTTATCAAAAAGATGCAGTGTCCAAAAGTGCTGTTCCCTTTATGAGTTCACATTGTTGGAAATACTAAGGGTTCTCTCTTCCCCTGAACAAACAGCCTCTGTAAGGTCACACAACCCTCTAGACATAACATAAAGACAAAGACATTTTTGGATGATGATGCATAAGAGTTCATTACACACTCTCTACATGATTTGCACTTTCTCTGTTCCCATCGCTATCCTGAGAAGTTTATTAGTAACACAGGATAGAAGATTTTAAGCATTAAAATGTTATGTAGTGGACATAAGAAGTTCAAATGGATCTCTGCTGAACAAGACATGGAAGACCTGCTTATCTCTTCATACTTATGTTTTCAGTGTGAATTCTGTGGGACTACATGGCAATGTTTTATATATAACTGTCCTTCTAGCAACATGTAGCAGATTTGTTCTATGGTTTAGGATCCTAAAAAGTTCGGTTCTATTCCTCTGAAAACTACTTGAAAGAATCACCTATTTTGCAGAAACCCTGTTTACATTCCTTGACAGATTTTTGCATCCAAGTGAAAATGGGTGTGGTTGTGAAGGACCAATGCTCCCTTCTATTAAGGGGCTGTTTAATATTCTGTTATCACACCATACATTTATTGAAAATTATTCAAACTTCTCACAAATGTAATAAAAAAAATCACTGTGACATTTTAAAAGGCGTTCTTCAATATTCTGTTCCTACAGAATTGAAAACTATTTAAGAATAACACATGATTCAGGAGAAAAAGTAAATGGTTCACTTTTGAAATAACACGATAGTATCTTAATAAGAAAAGTCTGAAAGTCTGAAACTCAAATAAACAACACCTATGCAAAGGGAATCATACCTGTTCCCAATACAAAGAGAGGAATGAATAAAATGAAACAATATAATTTTAAAAGAATGACCATATTTATTTTCTATTAAAAACAGACAGTACACCAAGGTTTAAAATATAAATATCAAAATTATTGCACAGTTAGCCAACTAGCTTTGTTTGGCAGCAATATTTTACAACACCATTGTGCAATAATATGCTCTGGCAGATTAAACTCCACAAAATCCATGATGTGTACCTTTTCTGTTTACATCATAAATCATCCTACAACAGTAAGATAATTGTTCTGGCGTATGTATAAAACATCATACAGTAATACAATACTTGCTTTATGAAAGCTGGAAAGAAGGAAAGAAGAGAGAATGTCTCTTAATGCTTCCCTTGCACCTTTGACTCAAACAAATTTAAGCAACTGATATTTACCCCCCCATTTGCAGTCGCATTTAACATAGGCAGTTCCAAGTACACATAAAAATACACATATATTAAGAGGCTTTGTTATAAATAGCTATTGCTTTTATAGGCAGCTTCAAATCTACAATCTTCTGTATGTCTTTGAAACATTAATGTCCCAGTTTAGTCTATAAAAAAAAAAATAAGAGTTCATCCACAGGTAAATATCCTTAATTAGAATGTGACTCTGTGAATGTCCCGAAGAGTTTGTCCCAGTGAGTGAAATAAGGAGCATAGTTTGATTTGAATTTCAGATGATGGAGATCATGATGTGGTGCTCCTCCGTACAAACCAAAAGGCACAAGTCGGTGAGTTGACCACGGAAGGTCGTATCCTGAATGGTCCTCCACTGACAACCAAATATTTACAAGGAAGAAAATAATTTCTGTTAAAGGATGGCATCCAAGGAGCACTGGGTTGATAGCAGCAAAAAATCCCAGTGAGAGCAATTCCCATACACTGGAATACTGTGTAGTAAGAGCAAAAGTTGACACATGCTTGTGATGCACCTTGTGGAAGGTCTTGTAGAGCCAAGGCACCCTGTGATGAAGCAAATGCCACAGGAAATACTCAAAATCAAACAGAAGCAGGCAAACTCCTACTTCCAGCAGGACCTCAGGCAGTTCTGGAGCTATCACTGGTAGATTCATTGGTCTCCAGTACCAGTGGAGAAATGTCACCGGGAAGATCAAAACAACATGGTGATACACACTTTGAATAATGCAAGGCACCATCATTCCAAGAGTTGGATAGTTCTGCGGCTGGATTTTGTATTTTCTCAACTCTGGTAGTCTAGTGCTTAAAAAGTCCAGTGCAACGTATGGAAGACAGAAAGCTATGTATGCTGTAAAAGAAAACAGCACTGGGAAAAACGGTGACTTGATTAATGGCTCCTTTGCTGTGACAAAGTCCCAAAGAGACTGAAGGCACAACCTGTCCTGCTGTCCATCCATTGCGTAGCCGAGCAGCGCTCTGTCTGGCAGGCTGCAGTTCATGCTGATTGCAGTCTGAGAGGTCTGTAAATCCTGCAAGCCTTTATCTAGCCTGCTCAAGGGAAAACTCCGCCCATCAGAAATCCTCCTTACTTAGTAATACGTAGCTTTAAAGAGGAAGTTCCCTTTCCTGTTATACAGAAGTGGTATAATGCATTACAATCTCAGAACATAATTAGCTGGGCAGGGTAATCACTGGAGCTGTACAAGAGACTTGCAGACAAACAAGCGGAAATGCAGAATTCTAACACTGGAATTCAGAGAAAGAGAGTAGGAACATTTTCCACCCCTTAGTGCACACACTTGAAAAACTGCTGTCTATCACTAATTTTAAATTGTGTCATCCTTTATTATCATTTTGCCTTTATAAGTAAGGAAATACCACCTACCACTGATTTTTTTATGTGACTGCTAGCAAAGATGTATGTGTACCTAAACCCCAGGTATGACCTGTGGATATTTGGTGGGTAATGGATGTGTGTACCAAATACACATTTTCTTAATGACCCCTTGGGTATAGAATAGACTAAGGCAAAGCCTTAAGGAGACCCTACACTATGCTTCCAGTCTGAATGTGGTTGGTTGCGGCTTATCTCCATCTACTTTTGAGGGCACGTTCTCCTTTATGCTCCTATATCTACCTGACATGGCAAAATCCACCTGATTTGACTAGATACAACATTGAGCCAACAACTTTTGCAGAACAAAATATCCCCCAGTCGCTAGGAACCATATGCTTCCAGACAGATACTTAGTGACAAGTATTATTGCATTATTACAATATTCACTCCACATGTGAACAGCTGTTTGAGCAATATGATATGCAAACCATCCTTTATCCAAGCATCAAACTAACATGCAATTAAAAGATCCACGGCTTAGACCTATGTCCTTTAAAGGATCTTCCTCTGACCACAGGCAAGCACTCAGCAGACAGAAGCTAGCAGGCTTGACTCCCAACATTCCTAATTTGCTAGAAGTATTTTAGGGGTAAATAATGGAGGTTTTGATTTAACCACTAAAGACATCACTTCTTTTGTGCTTTTAGAAATAGACAAACAAAGCTTTGAACATTTAGGGTAACAGAGCTTGCCATCAGCTTCCTATGAACTCACCTCTTTTGTAGGTACAGCATTTATTCTAATATTGGAAATGAGCTCAGCTTCCTGGATGACTTTATTAGCTTGTTCAGATGATTTTAGTTCTTTGTTATTCAGAAAAGAAATATGATGGGGGGGAAATGGGAGACAAATTTCCTTGCTTCTCAGTAATTAAGAATGATTAATTAGCAGTGACCTTTTCTGAACTATGCATGAACTTCTAAGACTTTAAGTCTAGTTTCAGTCTCAACTATTTTCAAGAGATTCTGCTCCTAAGGAAGTGCAGATTTTGCTCTCTTCTTAGACTTCAGGGAGTTTACTGGAACAGTAACATTATCTGTGTTATTATCCAGGCAATCAGAAGTTATTTGTTGAAGACAGGTTTGAAGACTCTACCCATTGCATAGGCATTTTAGAAATAGATTCAGGTTTTCTGCTGTTGTGAGACTGTTCTGTTGAACTCAATTAATTCAGTATTGAATGTAGTGAAACTAAAACACAGTGAGAGACATTAATTTAATGGATAAGGATCTATACCCAAGAGTTTCACTTCAATCTTCTGATTGTATTTTATCCTGACCTCCATTTCACAATAAGGACATGAAATACGGATTTGTAACTCAATCTTTGTCTGGATCAGAAAATATTCTTGTGAGAGATGGTTTCTGTTGATTTATGTAGTTACAATCAGAAATTAAGCCTCCCAGATGGGATGCATGCATTATTCTCTATTTTATTAGAATTATGCAGGCACTGAATTTGTTCTGTAATGCATTCCAAATCTGCCTAAAGGGAGATTGACAGAAATTGCTAGCTGCCCTAAAGACACTCCTCCAACTAATCCCTAATAGCCATGCAAAATCTCAAGAAGTTTTAGAACCACTGCTGCCTGTAAACTAGAATTTAAAGAATAGGCATTCTGCCTGCAGATGAGGTAATAGAAAAACATTCTTAAATCCCTTAAGGAAAAATAATGGAATTCTGCAGTCTTATTATGAGTATAACCTGCAACATAAAGCACAAGCAAGGCACAAGGCGAGCAGAACTTACCTGGGAGCCTGGCGCAGCCCCAAGACAGGCTCTGCACCCCATCTGCTGGTGCTGCACAGGATGGGCTCTGCAGCCAGGCTCACCCGGTTGGGGACCAGGTCAGGCTCTATCAGTGAGTATGCTCAGAAAAATGAATCCTCACACATCAGAGAGGGCAAAACCTTACTCTCCAGAAACTGAGCTCAAGCTGTTTGTCTTGGCCAATAAAAAGCAGTTCTTACATTTTCACTCCGCTTATCTTAGGTTTCTTAGTCAGCGCAAGGTACAACATGAAGAAAAGTACACACAAATCCTTTCTGTACTTAATGCAGCAATACAACCTCAGCTTTTTTCACTCAACTTACAATGCTGCCAAACTTTCCCATGTGTTACGAGACTCTAAGTGGGTCTCTCAAAAAAATCGAGATTCCTGCTACAGAGTTTAGGTTGAAGGGCACATAGTTTGGAATGAGGCCCTGCAAAGGGTCTTAAATAGATTCCACATGAGCACAAGATGCAAGCACCTACCCCAGGCTGCACTGTTAGATACAAGCTATAAGGTAAACAGCAAAACACTAAGTGGGTAGGAAAATGAGGAAAAGTCAGCAGGAGGGAAAACCAGGATTAACATACTGAAACTAATGGCACAGCAGCAGAGGCAAAATTTCTTTTCCTCTCCTCGTCTCCCCCTCTGTATGGCAGGATTCTTGCTGCACGAGAGAAAAGACAACATCCCAGTGCATGCTGAGGTTTCTACCAGAAAAAGGGTGCTGCAGAAGAGGGCTGATAACTTATTCAGGACAGTAGCAGGGAAGCAGGATAGTAACAACAGCAAAGGAAGGCAGAGGCAGTCTGTTCCCTCATTTTAAAAGAAATGGTTACCGTGCTGGAAAAATACAACAAATCTGAGGTCCTCACATCCTAACTCACCTCACTGCGAGAGCCTGAGCGCAGGGAGACACACTATCCAGCGGTACCCACGGCAGCTCTGCGAGGGCGCGGGTCTCACCCAGACCTCGGCCCCCCCGCGCTGGG